ACTCTTGGCCAATATTATTTTTTCGTCCTTTTCTAAGATGAGCTTGGCATTCTTGTTGAGTGAGAGAGTTTCCTTCATTTCCATTAGTAGCATCTACAACTTTACAAATAGTAGAAGGTCATAACCCTCTGCCATCGAGAGTATCAATCAATTTTCTTGTTGAAGGAGCTTGCCGAATTAGCCTGTGTGAACGGTGCTCTCGCACTCGATTCAGAGTAGTTAAAAGATGACCACTATGAAATTTTCGTACCTCTCATTTCTCCGTGCTTCTAATAAGTCCTATGACCATTTTTGCGGTGCATTCATATCTTGTATCGGCCTTGCGAACCACATTTATGCTATCATCTCTTTTATCTTTCAAATATTTGAAGCCTTCTTTGTCACAAACAAAGATCCAAGAAATGATTTCATCTTTGTTTCTTGACCAAGATGTTTTACCTTTTCGAATACCAAACCCCTTACGTTTAGCGTATGAGTTGTAGAATTCGTAAGCTTCTTCATGAGTAGAGAACACCATTCCAACATAGGGATCAACAACATAATTGCGTTCTTCAGTTACATGGCCATCAAGATCATTAACATTCTTCGCATGATCCAATTCTTATAAAAATGGAGAAATAAAAACATGATGAGCAAAGCACAATATATTCTAAAAAACATATATCTTCCAATATAATAATGCATTTTAAAAAATAAATATCATTACCTAAGATGGAAAATTTATCGTGGAGGTATTCTGTTATATCCCAACAATGTTACATTAAACGTTAGGCGCTTCTAGACGTCGAACTTAACGCCCAACGCTTAGTCGTCTAGGGGGCGTTTTTTTATTTTTATTTTTATTTTTTTAATTGTGATACTTGAAAATAAATATATATATACTCATTCAAAGATGCATAAATACTAAAATACCAATACTATTAACTAAACTGTTTGGTTTACCAATTACAATAGCTCTTTGTATGTTTATACTTCTCAACTCAAATTATAAGTTCATCTCAACTCAAATTACAATATGTATTAAATTCATATAAATTTTCAAAAAAAGATAGCAATTTTAGTTCCAAAATAAATCATGCATACTTAGATACTAAATAGCCAAAATAATAATTAACAAGGCTAGAGCTTAAGATATTTTCTTTTTTTATTTTTAATTACAATAATTGATAGTGAATGTCAATGTTACAGAAAGCTTAGATGTCGGACTGATGTCTAGACAGATTTCTTTCTTCATTTAAGTGGTGGTCGATGAGGTTTTGTTGAAGGTCGGAGGAGGTAGTGGAGGTATTCATATTTGGAGGTTAATGAAGTTTGGAGGACGTGTAGGTTACAATACATAAAATCATAACCAATGCCTACAGGGTGTAATGCACGGAAGCAGACAATACTTCCCTAAATGCTCGTAAAATCTAGGTGGGCAGCCTAAATACCGCCTAGGCGCTAGACGCTAGTTAGGCGGTCTAAGTATCGCCTGGGGGGCAGCCTAAATCCCGCCTAGGCGCTAGACGCTAGTTAGGCGGTCTAAGTATCGCCTAAGCCTAGGCGAACGCCTAAGCGGAGGTTTTTTAAAACAGTGTATCACAATATTCATGGAAGATATTTCATATGCTTCAACTTGAAGTGCGTCCATCTAAACTATTGGAGAGTCCATTATTACATCATGTGAGGGAAGTGGTGAAGAGTCCATCTAAACTATCAATATATTACTTATAACAAGGTTCAAGAAAACATCACATGACTTTATATAACGTTATATAACAAGGTTCAAATCATGAGATTAAGTATACATCTTCATCTTTCTCTTCCTTAAAAACATTCATGGTGGAATTATTAATTTACAAATTAGAGGCAAAAGCTGTTATTAACACCTAAAAATAATAATAATTAATAGCAAGCAAGTTATAAGTTACCTCTAAACTTCTTCTCTATCCAAATTGGTGAAGAAAAGACCCGAATTGCCTTGCAAAAAGTGAAACCAATCCCCAAATTAGCACAAACTCACAAAAACACAATACTACTAGCAAACCAGTGTTGTAAAAAACGCCCTGGGCGGCCACCTAGGCGGCCGCCTAGGCGGAGGCGGTGCCCCCACCGTGCAGTTTAGCCTTGGGCGGCCACCTTTGGGCGCTGGGAGCGCCTAGGCGGCCGCCCAGGGCTAAGCGGGTCGCTTTAGCGGCCCGCCCCACATTTNNNCAAGCCCCAAAACCACAGCCTGGGCGCTCCCAAAAACCCAAACCAAAAAAAAAAAACGCAATCCCCAAAACCCAAAACCCAAAGTCCAAACCCAAAACCCAAAGTCCAAACCCAAAACCCAAACCCAAAACCCTAAATCTGTTTCACCTGACGCCGCCAGCTCAAAAAACATCTTCGATCTCGTCCTGGGAGATCGTCTTCGAGCTCGTCTTCAACTACCTGGTGCTGGGAGATCGTCTTCGAGCTCGTCTTCAACGACCGAACTCGTTGTTCTCATCTCCGACGTCTTCCGAGCTCGTCGTTCTCATCTCCGACGTCTTCCGAGCTCATCTCCGAGGTCGTCGTTCTCATCTTCGAGCTCGTCCTCTACTTCGAGTTCGTCGTTCTCATCTCCGCAGAAGGAAGAACAGCAGCGACGTTTTCAACTTGTTTTTTGTGTTCGGGTATGCTCTTAAGCTTTCAAAACCCTCCAACTTATTTTCCTTGATTTTTAACTCTTTTTTTCTTGGATTATATTCATTATTTGGGTTCGGATATCCATTACTATTATAAAAATCAGTTTTTGGAGCTTACTGATTTATCTGGATTTTTTTTTCATCTACTATTTATTTGTTTCTCTTCTATTACTAATGAAATGAGGTTTTTGAAGGAGGTTTATGTCGTTTATATGTTCTGGGTAAATTGTCAACGATGCTATTGCTATGTATATGTCAAATCTTATATTAAAGTTCGCTGCTGTTCTTTCTTCTGCAGACAATGCTATGTATATGTTAACTTATTATCTCAAGCTCAAGGAAATTAACTGCTCCTAGCCTTATGTTAACTTAATATATTTATATCATATTTAGTTTAATTGTTTAAGACTGTAAGTTTATTAGTTTAATTGTTTAAGTTTAATTTTCTTATTTCAAATGAAAAAGTATCCGAGTGTACAACAGAATATGCATCACCACAGTCCACAACAGACTTATGCTCCCTACATTTGTCTTTGTCATGTTCATTCTCTGCATTTGTTCAAAACTTACAACTGTACATGCAATAATTGTGTATCACTGTATCTGTATTGAGTTGAGTGCTGAAACTATAATATTCACACTCCCTACATTTAGATTTGCAGCAATAACGAATGAAGTTGTAGTTTTTGACCTACAAAATAGAACAATAATTAGTTGCAGCAATAACTATTATAGTTTGGATAGCATATGTGTTGGTATTTTTGTATTTATGCATTGTTGATTGAGGGTATATATATTTATCTTCAGGTATCACAGTTAAAAAAAAGAAATAAAGAAAAAAACCGCCCAGAAACCGCTTAGGCGTCCGCCTAGGCGTCTAAGCGCTGGGCGCCAAGTTCGGCGTCTAGGAGCGCCCAACGTTTAATGTAACATTGTAGCAAACAAATAATCAAAATACGTATATGTTAACAATATTCTAAATTTTTTTTTCAAGTTCAACAGAGGCAATAACATCACTAATGTTAACAAATAATCAAAATACTCATGAACTCCTCTTAATTTTTTCTTAATTTTAAAGTTAGTTATTTAGATAACTCGTCGTAGGAGATCGTCAAGGCGGCGACGCTGGGCTCGCGGGCGTAGACGTGGCGGTGAGGGTGTAAGTGGGTGTGGGGCCCATCACATATAGAATTATTTTTTATTTTTGATCAATTGATTTGAATGGGGGGTGAAGATTTCTCCATGTAGGCGCTATCTTAGAGTGTGTATAAGGTGGCACCTTATACACACTTTCACCATATATATCTGTATATACAACTATATATATATACTTGTAACTATATAAATATATATATAATGTATAATGTAGTTATAACTTATAAGTATACTTATGTGTATATTATAGAAGTACAATTATATAAGTATAAATAAGTACATAAGTATAATTATATATAATTATATTGCATCTAGTATATTTAAAAGTATATCATATAAGTAATGTCTATAAATTATATATAACTATGTTGCATCTAGTGTATATAAAAGTATATCATATAAGTAAAGTGTATAACTGTACTTAAATAAGCATAATGTAAGTATATACTAATACATATATAAATATAATAAGATTAATCTAATTTTTTAGCAATTTTTTACCAAGAAAAAAAATCCGGGCCCGCCCAGTGCCTGGTCTGGACCCGAACTCGGACCCGGAGTGCCAGGGCCAAGCACGAATGGACATGCCTAATCATATCCTTCTTAATTGATTCCAACCAAGTTCTTTTAGGTCGACCTTTAGTTCTTTAAGATATTTTTGTTGTTGTAGGTTCTGCAATATTTCAGAACCTAAGCTTCCTATATTTAAATTCAGAACTTAAAGCCTACACCCTCGTCCCTTATTCCAAAGAGTGGTGTACCATGCTTCCTTTCCCATCCCATGACTCACAACTAACTGCATTCTACATAAGCAACTATATTTCATAAACTGAAACATATGAGCATTTTGAACTGATTTACTTTTTATAAACTTGCATAATTGTCACTAAATATAAACTAATATAAATGGGAAGATTAATGGAGTTGAGAATCTAGGTGGTCTATCGGCAACAGTAGAAGTATAGGGAGTCTATCCACAATTTGGCGATGACACAGGTGGTCTATCCGTGATTAACCCAACTTTTTAATTTGAAAGTAGATAATTTTTCTTTAGTGTCACTTTTTATAGTCCATGACATTGGAATTTAATGTTCCTTTTTTTACTGTCTGCCTTTTCTTTCATATTGCATGTTTCAATACCCTTCATTATATTAATTTTTGCTTCAACTTCAAGTGATACATACTTTATTCCTACAGGTATCTTCTGGACCGAGGCGTGTTGCATCCCACTGAAAAATATTATCCTTTGCGCCCTGAACTGGCAGAATCAACATTTTACCTTTACCAAGCAACCAAAGGTTCTCAGAAACTTTCAAGAACTTTTGACTTTAATTATGCATTAGCAGAAAAGTTTATTACAAGCTGATGAAAGTGTGTGTCATTTTCTGTCACCGGAACTTCTGAAGTCTGTCCAAAATGCTATGCTTCGTGAGAAATGTGAAATTTTTAACTATAATTAGCAAGAGTGCTGCATTCTATTTATGCGCTCCATAATTTAAGAGTAATATCTTGAGATGAAGCTGGTTTTTCCTGAATACAGAAGGTTTTCTATGTCATTTACTTCTCTTTATTATCAGCTTAAATTTCAAAACTAGAAACATAGGTTTTTAGCCCCAGCTGACTATTAAGAGTTATACGGCAATGTGCCGTCTTGTTTACACTTGCCTAGGCTAGGAGAAGCTATACCAACATGAGGTTTCACTTTATGTTGGTAACTGTTAGTGGTAGAAGCTAAGAAAAGCTTAATCCCATTAAAACTTTTCTTTGAGTCTTGCTCTGTAGCTGATTAAACAGCAAAAATGTGGATGACCCTTTAGTTACGCGGGTTGTTATCACATTTAGGAATTTCGATTTTAGTGTTTGCTATCAGGTTCGTTGAACCTCTGGGGAGAAATTATGCGATGATAAAGCTCAATATTATTGCTATAGTTGGAAAGTGTATTACACTAAGAATGCACTTTAAAGATTAATAATTATTGTACAATATCATGTTGAGTCCATATCTTTTGCTTCAAGTTTTTTTTCCTGTCGTGCAGATCCATGGTACATGGAAGTAGGTGAAACTATTGTGAACTCTCTTAATTATTACACCAAAGTTGATGGTGGTTTTGCTAGCATCAGGGATGTGACAACAATGCAATTAGAAGATCACCAGCATAGTTTCTTTCTTTCCGAGATGTGAGTTATTCTATATCTAGTGTTATTTAGATGACTACTCTTTTTCTTTTTTTCTTTTGTTGTGGTAATGTCATTGACGTAATAAGTTCACCTTTCTCGTCTCTGTTAGGTGCAAATATCTTTATCTTCTTTTTGATGATACCTTCCTGGCTGAGCAGAGTTATATATTTACTACTGAGGGCCATCCATTTCCCATAAGAAGTGCGTGGCATGAGAAACTTCCTAATACGTATATCCCAAGCAATTGGACATCAGTGAAGGTGTCATCTTTCGCTTAATTTGTACCCTTTGAATTGCTTTACATGTTGCTTTTTCTGTAGCAGTTACTACTAAATTATACATATTTATTTATAAATTTCTCTTAAAGTTTTCTAATAGCAGCTCATCTTGTCTGATAAAATTTATGTGTTCATGTCCTTGATGAGTAAAGGTCAGCAGGTGGTTTTATAAGTTTACAAATTTTCTGACCAATCTTGTAGATGAATTTGTCTAATGGCTGAAGCTTTTTTAATTCTTTCATGGATGTTTCTCGTGACGGGATTGAATTTTGGTTGCATTTGGAGAGGATCACAAAGTATGAAGCATTTCTAATTTGGGTGGAAGCTTAGGGTGTCTTTTTATGTAGTTGTTTTGATTCATCATTGTCGAAGAAGAAATGATTTGGGGAAGGGTTTCTTGAGATGATCAAGGAGATATTGTCACATTCCTTTCTCAGAGAATGAAGGAAAAAATTGTTAATCATTCTGAAGCTGAGGAAAGTTTTTCATAATCCCAATGCCCTGAAACATACTCATTCGAGGGTAAGAACTTACAGAGCAGGTTTAGACTCTTAGAATATGTTTCTGTAGATAAAGTGCCTTGTGGGATCATCGTGAGATATGTATAATGTGAAAAGCCTCAAACTCAACAAGTTGTGCTGTAAAATGCCAGTCACAAGCCCTAAGAAATCTCTAACTTCAGCAAGTAAATGTGACCGAAAAAGAATTTCTGACTGTGGAGTTAGCTACAACTGTGTGTGCAGCTAAGACCAGTGATGGAGAGGTAGTGTCAACCACCGGAAAAATTATGCCTTAGAAACTAAAATCCTAGGGGGATAAGGCTCTAATTTCAAATACTATCTTAGATGCTACGGGGTTTCTTCTGCAAAGAGATAACTATGCTAGGCACAGTCACAGTAAGATTGAGAAAACTAAAGCGACATAAAATGATTATCTAATCAAGAGAGAGATTAAGAGAATGAGAGTTGAGAGAGTGGCAGATAGTAGACATAACACGTAGCTGATTTAGCCAATTAGTCTACATCAACAACCTAGAGGCCTCCTCTTTAGGATTGAGGTGTAAATTAACTATGCTTCCATACGAGGAAATTTATTTTATTGGTGTAGTAATTTGCTTAGATATACAAAACTACTATAGAAAATAAAAAAGAGAAGGTTTTAGAACAAGATTCGCCAGCTTCACACAGCTTCTAAGGTGAGAGTCGCTTTAGCAGAATTATTCCCCTGCTATGTCAGTATGCTTCCACGAGTCTGATCATGAGTCGCAACAGATAATGAATAGTGAAGGAGTTGCCCAAATGGAAGTGATGCATGTTTTGTTTAGACAGAGGATTTTTTTGAAAAAGAGATTTTTGTTTTTTAGGAGCTAAAGAGAGATTCTTCCGTGCTTTTCACCTGTAGTCTACTTCTGGACTGTCAAGATTATTCTTGCAAGGCAACTGAACTGCTCTGTTATTGACTAACAACAACTAGGTCTTGTGATCATAATAGCGTTGGAATAGAATATGACCAATGTAACCGCTAATTAAACTACCTGAACTGTTTTAAGCTTGTATGTGAGAAGTTCTGGTTAAAAAATTTGAAAATTCCTTCCTGCCATCCTGCACAGGTAGTTTAACGCTCTCTAGTGTCGTTAGTGGTTACGAATATTTTTGATTGATCCAGGATTACCATGTCCAAGCCTAGTATGTCAACATTTGAAGGTAATATTCTTAACAACAAGAGAAGAATTTTTATTAATATAGTTTAGGATTATATTCTGCCAATTCATCATGCCCAAGATCTTTTCTAGTAACTGCACTGTGTCTAGCAATCATAACTATATTTTTTCATATCATCTTATAACATGTTTTTTAAGAAGAGAATGTTTTTTAACAAAAGAACCACTGATGAGGCTTCTGCTAACTGTTGCCACAGATTAAGTTA